TTTTTTATGTATTAAAAAACTATTAAAAGAATCAAGTTATGAATCAACTCAAGGTTATAACCAGGGGGTGTTTCTAATGTTTTTTATGTATGCACTAAAGGGGATCACTTCCTCTCTGCCTATAGATTGCTTTTAGAATGGAGATAAGAAAAAAGAAACATGTCCTTCAGCTAAAATAGTCATATATTTTGTTTGCTCATACCCTCAAGCGCGACTCATAACTCTGTCCTATAAAGTGCCTCAGCAACACACGGGACCTTGATCTTACAAAACGGAGCCCATTGTGCTGTAAGCTACAAGAAAAAGGAGTATATATAACATCAATGATTCAAGCATACCATCTACCTGTGAAATAGAACCGTTAATCCTAAATTATGACAAAGATCTTCACCTTTTTACACGTATGCATTAATCTTTACCATTTCTGGATGTGTTTTCTTGTACACACAGAGTTGTATTATTTCTTTGTTTATGATTAATGTGAAAAATTAAATGCGCTGACATGAAAATTTGTCAGCTTCTTGTGATAATGACTTTAAAACAATCCTATTAGCCAGTATAATTTTTCTTTCAACTCACCAATGAACAGTACTGATTGTATGTTTTTTAAATGAAGAAAAAAAAACTTTTTCAATTTAAAAACATGCCGTTGCCCAAAAATGTACCACTCATTATTGAGTCACCACTCATTACTGTATTTTTCTAAGTCAATTTTGACTGTGTATCTTTTAAAAATGTGACATAATGAACAGTGTTTCTTAGGTAAAGTTCCACAATAAGCCCTCTCCCCTGAAATTTGGACTCATTACTTGCTTTGTTTTATGTGCAGAATTCAATGTATTTTCACAATGCAGTTAGATCAAATTTGAGTTTTTTGGGGCACTGAAATATTGTTTATGTTCTGCCTTTAAGTCTAAAACTAAAATTTCACAGAAAGGGCATCTAGTCCCAGTTAAAATATAATCAACATATAGTATTATGGCTTAATAAGCACTGACAAGACAGACTTTTGATGTGATCAAAGAAAACTTGCCATTCTACCTACCTTCTCACTACCAGCTAAGTCAACCAGGTACAGCTTCCCACTCAGTTTCTGTTCCGTCTCTATGTTTTCTTGTTTGATGTTTATCAGGAAGATGCTATGGCTGCGGGAGCTATGCTCATTCATGTCTAGAGAGGAAAATGAGGAGGGTGAGGAGATCTAAACGGAGGAGTCTTCACTCAAAATTTCATTCAACACACATTTTCTAAGGACAGATACAAGATAATCCTTCACACTTCATCAGGCATTCCTCCACTCACGCGTTATTGTTAAACTGTGAAAAACACTCTGACATGAAGTGCTGACAGTGGGAGTGTCAAAACATCTGGAAGATCAACAGTGTGACTCACTTGTGACAGCAACGTGGCGGTTGGCCTTCCCTTCATCTATCACATCCATCACTTCCTCAGGACTGGTGACAAACCGTTCAGTGCAGCCCTTATCGAAGGAAACATGTGCATGCATTATTCATGCAAGAGTAATGTGTTGCATAGGCGAATGAACACTACCTCTGTAAGTCCACATATTTTGGTTATGCATACCCATATGCACAGACATCTTACAGTTTACCCTGTCCTGATGCCATATGCTATCTGGTCAACATGTGCTCAAATGCAAGAAAAAAGTATAGTTCAAAAGGATTGTTGCTCATCTGACTGGTCTGATGAGCAACATTTCTTGCTCATTTGTTGGTTTAGAGATTGTTTAAAATTTCACAGTGATCTTAGAGAACAGCACTTCACTGCCAGCTGAAGTTCAGTAGTTCAATTCCCAACTGCCCCAGACCACACGTCGAAGAGCCATTGGGCGAGATACCAAACCCCTCACTGGCTTATCGATATGTGTGCAGCCAATAATAAATGCTGAGGGAGTGTGTGTTAATGGGTCAATGTGACTTGTAGTTAAAAGTGAATTAAATGGTCAACTAGACAGGAAAAGACCTGCACAAGAGCAGTCCATCCACAATTTACATAAGCACAGTAAAACAGGAATATAATGATGTATTAGTGAGATTTAGTTGCGCTCATTATTGTGTTTCGTTATAATTTCGAAGAGTCACAGCTGAGCTGGCCGAAACTACCACACTGCTCGTTACAACTTTTCCTACCCCACATAAAATAAGTGATGTCGGTCTTTATCGTCTGCAGCAGAGGTTGAATAAGTTTATTTTGCAGCAAGTTGCATTCAAGGATGTTGGGGAGGGCGACACTAAAGGAGCTAGTCTTATCCTTACAATGCAATGCAAAATGCTTACAGTTCGACACTGCAATATAAAATGTTCTATCAAAGGATTATGTTTACCTACTTATTTATCTTATGTTTCTGGATAGGTTGCACCTTATTTAAAAAAGGTAGAACAGTCAGGTTAAGTTACAACAGACAATCCCCTTGGCCTTCTGGCTTCTAGTGTCCTTCCACTTTTGTGACAAAAACAACATTATGAAAGAGAAAGATTCTAATTTACTTCCAAACTGAATAATGTCTGAAGGTGACTCACCTTCACATAAGGAACTCTGTGTTTGTCTTCATGCACTGACAGGTTGGTTTTTGTCACTGTGACAGGAAGCGGAAGAAAAATCAGGAGGACACATTTTTACACAAAGCATGTGTGTTTGTGTACTCATGTGTGTGCATGTGTGTGTGGGTGTGCACTTACAAATAAGCTTTCCCATGTCTGAGCAACAGCTATAATGCATTCTGACAATTTTTTCTTTTACGACTCAGATTCTATTTATGCAGCATGAAATAATCAGGGGATGGCCTATGAATGTTTTTCTGTTTTCATGAAGATGTTTTTGCCAAAATCACTTTACAGTTACATGCTTCAACTAATGTCAATGAGCATTCTGAATTACTGACAAAGACATTTCATAGCATAAATTGCATGATTATTTACATATGACAGTGCCACATTGTTGACGATTATCAAAAATTAAAAAATGGCTTTTTTCCCCCCTGATATACATTGGTAGGCCTTGATATATAACCCTGGATAGTAATTTCTTGTCCCTGCACAAAGTCCTCCTGAGGGTGTTGTTCTCTTTGCTGCTCCGATAAATTTTGCCTGTTGTTGACTCTGTTCCCCTTTGTTGTTCATAGCTTAAATGTTCCACTGATTCCATGTAGTCTTCTGCATACAGATGGGGGCTTTTGCCACTGTCTCTGACTTCATTAAAGATGCAATCACAGAGACACCGTGTTAAGCCCTCTATCGGGGCCTCTCCATCTTTTTACTCCGGGAATATCTGTCTGTGAAAAGTCTGTTTCAGCTGACACTCTGAGTTGCCCCTGTGTGCATCAGGTGAAAACTAGGATCAAATAAATTGACTTTAAAATCCAGAAGTTTTACTATCAGGAGCACAAAGCAAACATATTAACTGCCGATTAAGATAGATTTTTGGAGTATCTTTCCACATCTACAACAACCAAAAGGGGTTCAGTGAAAAATGTTGTGAGAGAGTAAGACATTTTGAAATACCTTAGTTTGTGGAAAAATATACGCCTAAATGTAAATAAGAACCCAAAGGCTAAGCTTAAGCATTGCATGGTGTCTGCAGTCTGCCTCACTGTTGGCATTTGGCCTCTGATTCACTTGAGCATGACTGTAAAGGCTTTACATTTCCATCTGTACCATAGAAAGCTGTTTTGTGTTATCAGAGTTGGGTTATGCTTTCACAGCCTCAGAGCATAAACGTACCATCCAATAGGTCCCGGATTTTATCCATGTAGATCTCAAAATAGGAAACCTGCATCAAAACAAAAAGCATGGAACAGCTTATTTTTCCTGGTGGAGACAAGCAGAAAATCTAATACAGATAAACGAGAAGGATGGGATAGCTGCTCATTATAAAATACAAAATACAAAATGATGTTGTGATAATCCGTCTTCCTGCCAGTGGCATATTATCATTGACGTCTTTTATAGGACTGTGTCCTAAAAAATACTGGTTTACTTAGGATGATTTATTGATGCAATGCTTGTTAGAGTTAAATCAAAGGCTCGAGCAGAATCCCAACTGAAAATATAACATGAAAAAGTCAAACTGAGCATGCATATTTGTGTGTCAACAGATACTCACAGACAAACACAAACTAACCTTTATATGGAACTCTAGGTTTTCATCCATGGCAAATATATGTTCAAAAATATCCTCTGCAATTCGGGGTATGATTCCCATTCCCTCGGGATCATGGAGGTTTCCCTGTGGGAAGAGTGACACAGAATGAGACAGTATGAGTCAAGACTAGATGAGTAAAAACCCAGGGGCAAATTAAGCAGACACTTTAACAAGGAACAGAACCCAGTGGATACTTCTGATTCGAAAAAGAATAGTTGTAAAGGAGGTTAGTTCCTACTCAAAGCTGGGGACAAGAGATAACAGCAATCGCTGTGATGGGGGTGGATCTACTGTCATGAGGGCAGAGGAAGAGATAAAAAAAGAAAAGGGAAAACTGCTCATGTGGCAGTGTGCACGTGTGTGGATGTATGTGAAACGACAGAAGGTCTGGCCTTTGAATTATTTAGCAATACTCTACCTCCATGGTGTGCGTTTTTCCCGAGGAAGTCTGCCCATACGCGAATATAGTCCCATTATAGCCACCCAGCACATCTAAAATGAGAGGGAAGAAGAAAAAAATTAGACAAAAGAAAAATAGAAAGCAAAAATAAATAGTATTTAATCCAGAGTGGCATACAGATTTGTACCCGAGGAAAGACAAATGTCTGACCTTTGCTCCAAAGTGAGCCTTATTGAAAAAAGTGAGCAATGAGAAGCATATGGCGTTTCAGCTCGAGTGGGCACTGAACAGTTCAGTGGCTGCGCACAATAAATAAAACAACCTGAAGCTGTTAGTCTCACCAGGAATCACTTTGTAAGGTGGCAAGCAAGCACAGATACATTATTGTCTGTATTAATTTGGAGCCAAGGCTAAAACAACACTGACTCTGAACCCAACCAGCTGAGGTAATAAAATATCCTATTGTTGAATATCATATTTCTGACAGAGGCCAATAAACCTCTGCAGTAAAAGTCAAATGTGTGTAAAGAGCAACATATCACCCTGACAGGCGGCCAGCCACAGGTGAGCTGACCACACACTAATGCTGAAAGCTCTGAGCTGAAACTACTCAGGGCCTCAATCCTCCTGGTTTCTGCTGCCTGAATTTACAAAAACGCTGTGGCATGTTTTCTTCAGCCTCCACTTCGGTCAGAATCAGACAGTCAAAGAGAGATCAATCAAAAATCAAAGAGCTTGCCTTTGAAAGAAAATAAGACAGCAAGAGATTGGGTTTTTAAAACTACAAATATCACAGGCAAAGGAAACATGGATGTGATGACACAGGATGAGAGTGAGAGGGTGACGATGAAACAGCAGGAAAGAGCGCTCAAACAGCCAGAGGCCCTAAAGGAGAATATGTGTCATCAGACAAGCTTTTTCTCCAACATGTCTAACTATATCTTCTTTTCTTTAATGACAGATGTCAAAACTCATCCTTTTGTCTTGTTATATGCCTACCTTGAGTTTTTTTCAACCTTTCGCTGAAATCCATCTCACCTCTTTATTCGATCTTTCCTCAGCCAACGTGATAATCTCACAGTCTATAAATAATCTCACCAACCAAATAAATCTTTTCATGGTTCATTAAGCACTAGTTCGCCAGTGCTTTGTGCTTTGAAGGTGGAAAAGAATCAAAATCCTAACAGGGTAAAAAGTTAAGTGAATGGATGGAGGGAAGGGGAAAGAAGAAAAACTAATTCATGCTACAGGGTAGTGGTTTCGTTTGATCTGGGGTCTTCTGAATATACACTGTGTGCACAAATATTAAGCAGGCTGTGTTTTTACAGAGATTAATTTTCATGGTTGTACAAATACAATAATTCCAAGCAATCTAAAAATGTTTCTGAACCAAAAACCTTTTTTTTTAAAAAGCAAAAGAAAATTTTGTTTCCCTCAGAGGAAAATCTCGCCTGAAGTACAAATTATTCATTCAGTGGGTGGTTATAATGGGTACAAGTGAGAATGCAACTACATTTAGTTGTCACAACTAATTTCCTCTTTATTTTTCCATGTAGCTACAACACTATACCCTTTTTTTTTACTTGAAATAAGTTATTCTCAGAAATGTTCAATCTAAGAAAGTTGTGAGCTTTTTGATCTTTTCATGTTGAATTCCCCTTTGGGTAGAAACCAGAGCTTCCAAAATTATTTTTCAATCCCCACCCCTCCCATATATTGCATGGAATACACTGACATCTGATTGATGAGGTGCCCTGTCTATGGGCATGTGTCCATTCACCCACTACACAAGGACACACACTTTTCATCCGTCCAATCTTTTCAAAATGTTGTCCCAGTTTATGAATCTATTGCACTTCTCGTCTGTCTGAAAGGCATTTAACAGTATCTAACCCTTCAGTGTCAGTTTAAATTTCTTATGTGTTTTATTAATGTGTTTTGAGCAAAGAATTACAAAAAACTCCTAATAAGGCATTGGCCTTTAGGTCACATCATGAACTATTCAAGATTATATAGTTTGAAGAATGCAGGAAAACGTCCTGTAGAAAACAATTAAGATTGGAATACCACCTTGAAAAAACTAAAGAATATGTGCTTGACAACATAAAGTCTTGGAAACAGTTTTCTGCTTCCTGTAAGTACTGTTACTTAATGCAGCAATGATTGAAGTGTCAACTGAAAAGGGCAACATGAGGATCATGATTATGGATGATGTGTTAATGCAAGCTCTGCTGGCGTTTTCTTCTTTGGCCGTTTGTCACTCATGCGTGTAGAAAAAGAACAGGCAAATAATGTATGTGACTCACCTTTGACAATCTGTTTGGCACAGGCACTGTACACTTGCTGCTGTGTGGTGATAGTAGGGAAGACCTGGTCAAACACGAATGCCTTCCCCTGTGAAGTGACACACACACACACACACACACACACATTCAGTCACCTATGACAACTTTCAGATTACTTTGGATAAGTGTCAGCGCCTTGGTGTTTCCTGCGACAGTAAGATTGTGTGTTAGAAAGACGGAGCCTTTCTGTACGCAATATGTGAACTTAAAGTATTTTACAAAAGAGCCACATTAATATTTCCTCTATTCACAGTGAACTCTCTATATGGATGCTGCATGTATGTGTGTGGGGGTCTGAACAGCTGTGCACAGATCCCATTAAGAGGCATCTGTCTCCTTTTTAGAGGTACAATATACAGCACATCCCTGTTTGGATTTTGCTGTACTACGAGGCTGTCAATGTTTTGATGAGAGAGGTGCTGCATAGAGCTTTGAGTAAAAAGCTGTTTGACCCCAAGAGACATGGACAAACTCTCCTCTGAAGTGAAGTCTTTAGAAACAGCTTTCAAGGATTTCAAGAGTGAAGTGAAGTACTGCAGAGAAGAAATGGATGAATGGATTGAGGGAATAGAGCGCAGGAGTGGAAATGCAGGCAGAGCAGAAGAAATCAGATGGCCTAAAACCACTGTCTCCACGTGAGAGATAGAGCATGGGCATGCGTAGAATGTCTCATTTTAATAATTTAGTTTGTCAACCAAAGTCTGTGCCTGTTTTGTAAGCTTTTGAGCAAGCTTTTTCTTCAGTATCCCATCACATAAGAACAGAATCAGATGCATTGTAATCCATAGAGAGATTTAGAGTTCCACTCAACCAATTAATTTGATAGGTAACCGCTAAAGAGCAAACTAACCCTTACATAACCCAGACAACCCTGAACTGGAATCACGTTGTCCAGTAGTCAGACAAGCTCTGATTATGGTGAACAGAGTCACTCAAAGCCTCCACATCTGGTAAAGATGCATGCAAACACAATGCATCGATATTCTAAACCTTGTTTTTGATTGCACCAGCCGTCTCAGATGAAATACACCAAAAATCTGCTGCACATGCAGCAAACACCTGCCTGCTGCTTTACAGGCATCTAAATGACAGTCAACAAGAAGCTAAAATCCTGAAGTACACAAATTTGTCAGGGTCTTGAATAATACATTCTGTTTCAAGCTTTCAGTGATGGTGGCTTTTGTAATTATACTTCTTACATCATTTTTTTTTACTCTCTCTTTTAATTTTGGTGATTTGCAGGCATGTGTAACAAATTCCACCATAAGAGGTAGGATTGCAATGTGTCTTTGATGAATGATAAATGACCAAAAGATTAAAAGTGTCTAAATCTTTAATTAAAAGGCACACACAGGGAGGAACAGTGATTTCAAACAGATGTTTTTTCCCAACTTTCATCCCCATTCAATAAAGTATCTAAGGCTGATTTTATTTTTCCAGATTTTCTGGAAAGGCGTTTTAAGTGAACATCAATGTCTTTTTTGTCTAGATTTATTGCAGCTCCCTTTCCTAAAACTTCCAGAACATCTGGGGTAAGAAAGCGTAAGATAGACACCCCCCCAGAGAATTTATTGCCTGTGTGAGAGAGTGTGTTTGCAAAATCGCAAGAGTCGTTGTGTCATTTTCTTTTCTGCTGACTACGTTCCTTTCCTCTCAATCTTCACTATTTTGGATACATTCAGGTAGATGCAGTTGTCATATCAACACAGCAAGAAATCACATATGCACACATTCTCAGTGTGTTTCAAACAAAAGTAGCTATTTCTGCCTCCCACGCCCCCTCAGTAGATGTTCCACCGTGTCCTCCGTTTGACATCTCCAGAAGATATTCTGCTACTGTCTACCTACGTCTAAGAAGCAACAACAGAAAAAGTGAGGACAAACTGTCCACACTTTCCCCGTGGTCACATGAGAAACCTGCTCTATCAAGATATCTGTTTGATAGTTAATCTTAACCTTAGTTCTCATGTTCATCAGTGAATACACTCATCTTCAGTCATAGTAAGATTGCCTGAAAGGTTTCTTCTGCAAAGGTGTCTTAAAAGTTACATAAATTAACAAAAAACACTGAAACTCAACCATCAAAATGGTTTTCTGCAATATGATGATATGATATGATGATATAATGTAACTGCGTCTGTTTTTTTGTTTTGTTTTATCTTTTAGATATTGCAATTTTCTGCACCTTAGTTACCTTAAAGTCCTGCATTATTCTTTAGGCATTAGTTCCCTTGTGCATCTCATTGGTTTCTGGTCGTCTGTTGTTTTACACAGAAGGTTCCATTAAGCTGATTATTCCACACCTGTGTTTTCTTATGCATGACTCTCCTGCATATATTCCTTAGGTTTCCTTTGTTTTTCTTCTGAAATCATCCCTTTAACTGCTCTGAATTTTTTATTTGGCATGCCTGTCTGGACTTCTCCTTGGATTTTTGCTGCTCTGCAGTGCCTTTGGTTTCTACTTTAAATTAATTCAAGTCTGTCTCATTCATCTCCTGCCTGCCACCTAATGTCTTTCCATCTGGATAGTCTGGATAGTTTTGGCTTTAACTTCAACATTGAATTTAATTAAACTTGGGAAAAGAGCTAATTGAAATAAGTGCAGCACATTCGTTAAATTTTGTGATGATCGGCCACGATGAAGAATATTATCAGGAGTTTATCAGACTAGATCTTTTCAAACTGTCATTTGGGCAGACAAATGCCACGTTTTCTGTGCATTACACAAACAGAAGAGGGGGTTTAAGTTGATCTACTTCTGCTCTGCCAAAAGACACAATACCAAATCCACATGTGCATTTGGGACAGCCAGCATGGTTAAACACCGCTCCAAGAAACAATGCTGCCCTTTGAAGGCACACACAGACATTGTACTAAACACACAGCAGGGTCACTGTAAATAAATCTAATATTCCAAGCACATCGATTTCCCCTTGCTTGCCACTGTTCATTCAGTGTCAAAATGACATCTAACATTACAATTGTAATTCAGAATCAAATTATTTGTTCATGACAAAAATTAGACTTGAAATATATATATATATATATATATATGAACTTCCCTGCTTAATGAGCTGACCTGCTTTTAAGTAGCATAATCACAGCTGCAGGTACAAACAAGCTCCCCATTAGAAGTGATTAGAACTGACTCGGTTCCCTGTGAGACTATTGTGCTGCAGCACAGAATGCACATGCAAACCAGGCTAAATAACTGAGAGGGAGGGAGGAGGAGTGTGGAATCATGATGTGGTCTTCACTGGTGGGGAATGAAATGAGTCACTTACATAAGCTAAATGAAAAAACAACAACAGCCCTTTCCCAATAATTTGTTCCAGTGGCCTACCGTTAATCTGCTCTGCATTTATATGATAATGGCACACATGCATTAGACATCCTGGAAGCTCTTCTGCATGTCCATCTCACTGCCAGGCCTTTTGGTCTAGTCAGGTGTTAACACTTAAACTCGTTTGTCTGTATGATTATATCGTCTGTATAATCTAGCAGATGTCTCTTCAACTATGTGACCGGACACTGCTTAAACACAAATAATTGTGGTTTTGTGCCATAGCATACATGTGAGTAAATAATGTATCCAATTATACATGTACATGCAGATATTGTTCATGGCCCTGAGCTTTGTGTGTCATGTCAGACACCCGCATGGCCTTCCCTGCCAGCAATCTGCTGCATTTGCCAGGAAACAAAGAGGCAGCGGGAGAGACACCAAAGCACAAGCAAATAGCAATGATAAACAGAAACCGCTAGAGCTTTTTGAGGTGAGAAAAGTAGAGCCGTTTAAGACCAAAAATGAGCTAAACAAAATCAATACATGGAGACACAAAGGTTAGGAAAGTAGAATAATCCTTAATCAATAGAAAGTATGTGAGCAAGAGGTACGATCAATACCTGCTTCACCAGGAGAATTTTGGGTAGTTAAATCTTTGTAAGAAGAAAAATATGAATCGTGCCAACCAAATACACAAATACACACACACACATCTGGGTCCACTAACCATTAGGTGAAAGGGACACTGACTCTACATTTTGACAATTGCGAGTTAAAACCAGGATTTGCATCATGAAATGACATAAGCATGCCTTGTTATGTCAGTGAATGATTGATTTGCTGTCAAGCAGGATGTTTTTGGATGTTGTGCCACAACTTCCACTAAAACAATTTTCCTCCAGCATTATTTTCTGGGGCACTGTACAAGACAACATTACTGTTTAAAGATAACCCATGCATGCATAGAGTTGTTTTGCTTCTTATGTCAGAGCTTAAGTCAGGTCCCTTTTAAAACAGTTGGAGATAGGTTTGCAGGTGTAGTTATATGTGATAATGTGTGCAGATATTAATTCTCGTGATTTTCAGACCCTCTTTTCATTAAAATAAATATCTAAAAAATCAAACTGTTCAATACCTGATAAATCTCAATAAACAGACAGGCATGATTAGCAAATACCAGTGACGACTCAGCAATTTGAAAGCCAGAAAATTCCAATGTCGGCTACTTACAAATTTTTGGGGATGCTAAACTTGATTTGATAGAACATAAGATATGATTAGTATCATGCATCTCTCAAAAATACAAATGTTCACACATAGCAAGCTTATTAGATCAAACTGCACTGGAAAATTGCACGGAAGTAAATGTTAACAGACCAAATAGCCACGGGAAATGATAACAGTTACTGCTAGGCTGCACCCTGATTGTGTATTGCAGTTCTTAAAGTAATTTCCCGTTAAAAACAACTTCATTTCTGGAAAACTGCAGAGCAGACATTTATGGTTCGACTGCAATCATGATTAGAACAAATTAGTCGTGGTCACAAAAACAACTACGGCGGATGGAGACATGTAGGAAGTAAACAGTCCTTTCCTGTGTCAAATGCAACTGCCTGTTTTTGCTGTACCTTCCATCCACTGTGACCTCTGCCTAGAGAGGTTTCCCAGCTTTGTAATCACCTCGAGCTACATCCACCTTTGCTTCCAGCAGACAACACGCATTACTCACATGGCTGCTCAAGGGCATTTGCCAGGAAACAGTTTTTAATGTCTGATCAGTTGGAGAGTGTCTTTGTTTTAATGCT